GTGGATAAAAAAGCTGTGGTACATATACACAATGGAATACTATGCAGCTATAAGAAAGAAAGATCTCTTATCCTTTGAGATGACATGGAGGGACCTAGAGAGTATTATGCTAAGCAAAATAAGCCAGTCAGAGAAAGACAAGTATCACATGATCTCACTTATTTGTGGAATATAATGAACAAATACGGTGATGAACAAAATAGACCCAGAGACACAGAAGTAGGGTTCAGAGTCATCTAAGACGGGGTCTGGCTCCTCCTCCCCCTTGGGGCCTGGGAGCAGTTCAGCAGCAAGCAAGAGAAAGTAACTTCACATCTATTGTTCGTACTGTTTTTGTCTGCTCTCTTCTCCCTGCTCAGAGTTCTCTCCTCAGCACCTGGCCTGAGCCTATGAGTCAAGCTCAGTAAACACCTGCTGACTGAGAGGATGAAGGTTCCTGCAGAGAGACCCAGAAGGAAGAATTGCAGTGCCTTTGGCCCCTGACTTGGCTTCCCTTGCAGAGGCCCCAGGGAGGAGAACCTGTAAACAAAGATGCCCTTGTCCAGTCTGGCCGGTGTGGCTCAGTGGTTGAGCATCGACCCATGCACCAATAGGTCACCGGTTTGATTCCCGGTCAGGGCACATACCCAGGTTGTGGGCCAAATCCCCAGTGGGGGGCATGCAGGAGGCGGCCAATTGATGCTCTCTGTTGTTGATGTTTCTATCTCTCTCTCCCTCTCCATTCTTTTCTCTATCTAAAATCAATAAAGAAAAAAAATTAAACAAAAATAAAAGGGGTTTGAATGAACGATCAAATCATGAAAAGACATGGAGGAGACTTAAATGCATGTGAATTACTAAGGGAAACAAGCCAGCCTGAAACCCTTTAAAATGTGCAACAGCAAGAGTGAACCCTAATGTACACTATGGACTTCGGGTGACTAGGGTGTGACAGTATAGCTTATCAAGTGTAACACATGTACCACTCTCGTGGGGGGTATTGATAGTGGGGGAGACTGTATGTGGAGGGGGAGGTATATAGGAAATCTCTCTACTTTCTGCTCAGTTTTGTTGTGAACTTAAAACCTTCTAAGCCTTGGCTGGGTGGCTCAGTCAGTTGGAGCATCACCCCATACACCGAAAGGTCGTGGGTTCAATTCCCGATCAGGGCACACACCTACGTGGCAGGTTTCTCTCTCTCTCTCCCCTCCCCTTTCCTCTCCCTAAAAATCCATAGAAACATATCCTCAGGTGAGAATTTTTTTAAAAGCTCTAAAAATAAAATGTCTTTAATAAAAGGGGGTTGCATTTTACATGTCTTTTTTTATTACTAATATTTCATCTTCCTGGTAAATCAGTGCTATGGACTGAATGTTTATGTCCCCTTAATATCCACATGTTCAAACCCTCATCCCCAATGTGATGGTACTTGCATTTAGGTAACTGGGTTTCGTTGAGGTCATGAGGGTGGAGCTGGCATGATGGGATCAGTCCTGAGGCTCTACCGTGTGAGGACACAGCGGAAGGTGGCTGTCTGCAAGCCAGGACGAGAGTCCTCCCAGACACCAGGCACCGAATCTGCCAGCACTTGATCTTGGACTCCCAGCCTCCAGAACTGTGAGAAATGAATGTTCTGCTGTTTAAGTCATCAGTCTACGGTGTGCTGCTACAGCAGCCCCAGCTAAGACAGTTTTCAGTTCATTTATTATCACTTACAAAAGCTTTTGCTCCATGACAGATTCGAAGGGGAAAAATTTGTCCTTCATCCCAAATAGTTTTGACCTACACCCACAACCCTGGTCCAGGAGCCAAAAGGACTCATCTCTTGCTACTGCTCTGCTCGTGACTCTAAGCCTCAGTTTCCCCCTCTGCAAGCAGAGGGCCTGGAGCGGTTGGACCTAGCCAATGTGGCCAGTCTGCAAATGTCTGGGTCTTTGGGAAAATATGGCAACCTCAGGCAGTTAAGGGCCATGGACCCCCTCCTCCAAACCTCACCGTCAGTCAGGCGGGACGTTTCAAAGAAACGTCTTGGGGCCATTGTGCCAGCCAGACACAAACATGCACTGGCAGATGTGCACCAAACAGAGGTAAGCGTGGGAAAGCTCCGCTCCCTGTCCTCACACGTACCCGCGTAGAGCTCGGGGAGGCGGAGGCAGCGGCCGCATCACCCCAAAGCAGCAGCTGCGTCCGGGTCCAAGACAACCTCATGATGTGGGGACCAGGTCCTTACACCTCACAGGTGCAGAGGCGATGCTTCCAGCCGGACACAGAACTTGGGCACTGCCTACTTCACCAGCAAAACTTATTTCAAATGTCCCTCCTGCTGGCGAAGCAGCCCTTCGGTTGATTTTGAGAACTGCCCTTGAAACGCTGCGGCAGCACCTCTGGACAGTGGATCCTGGGGCACTCCGCATGCAGACGAGCTGGCTCCCCGCGCACGTGCAGCTGTGTGTGCACGTGTGTACGCATTGCTAATGCTCACGTGTTCTACGCTATATTACATACCACCTGCCCGGGACATGAACCGCATGACCTCTGCATTCCCTCCCCAGGCATACACATATAAAATACTGTATTAGATAGTAATACACACACACAAAGTCTGAGAAGCAAGACAAAAGTCAGTGTCTGACTTCACCAATACCTTCAGAGGCTGGAACTGTGTGGCCCGCTCCCCAGGTCGCAAAGTCCGATGTTCAAAGCTGGGACGGGATCCCCTCCTCCTGCTGTGGCTCAAGTGATGCCCTCGGTCTTCATGTTCTTTCCTTGTCCGGTTGTTATCACCTCGTCTGGTGATATCCCTTTCCTCAGGGTGGCCGAGCCCATCTCTGTCACTGATCGCGAGGTACCCACCTGTCTTCCCCGAGCCTTCGCGGTCCGTGGTCTGTGGGGGCAGCTGGAGGTGAGCCATAAGGAGTTCAGAGGGTGGGTGGGAAGGGATGCAGCTGGGGAAAAAATGTCCTTCTGGAGTAAGAAAAACCACAACAGGAGCCTAGAAGGGAGAGACAGATCTGGCGGGGGGGGGGGGGGGGGAGGAAGGCCTGTCCTTGTCTCCCCAGCCACGAGGGAGGAACACACGGGTGAGCTGAACGTTCCCGGCTCAACCCCAGACACTGGGTTGGGAGCAAATGAGCAGCCATAACAGAGGAAAGCCACTAGCCTGGGCTCTGCGGGTGGTCTCTGGGTGTCAGAGACCCTGGGTGAGACAGAGGGCTTGTAACACAATGGAGGTCCTCAAAGAGGGTGGGGGGCTTGCCTCGGGGAGGTCCCCCCCACACACACACAGTGAGGAGCCATGGTGCTGGCAGTGAGCACTGCGAAAGACATGGAAAGACTGTCCGCGTACTCGGAGAATTCAGTATCTGGGGACGAGAGGATGAGAACAGAGAAAATGTCATTCTGGGAAACCCCCGTAAACCCTCTCCACGAACACAGCTCCGCCAGGGCGTGGGCCAGCCCCGGGCTGTTTACAGGCCCGTGCTCCCTCATCTCCAGATCCGCTTCCACGGCCGCCTGTCACCCCACTCGGTGCCTCCAAATAGTCTGTCCCTTGTTGTTACTCAGGCCCCTCACCTCGTGCCAGCTTTTGCTCTGGCAAAGCCTGTGGGCTTGGAGCCCGGGGTGTCTGTACTTCCACGAGCCCGGCTCCAAGGCTTAGCAATCGCTTTCTCGTAGAAACAAGACCTGGCAAATGGCTACTATTTGGGAGGCCAGGAAACGGGGTGGTTTCTGGTGATGGGCTGCTGGGGTTCAAATGGCATCACTACCACATACCTTCTGAGTGAGCCTGGGCAAGTTACCGAACCTCAGTTTCCTCATCTGGGAAATGGGGGCACTCACAGCTCCCACCTCTTACACTGCTGTGCGCGTGAGATGGGTGTGCCTGGCAGGGGCCACAGCCCTGTCCTCGTCATCTCCTTGCCTCCGCGGCTCATATCCTGGCCTCAGCTAGTCTCCGCTTCGCATGGTCATCTCCTGAAATGGGACTTCCTGTTGAAAACTCCTCCGTGGTACCTCACTGTTAGCATCAAATCCGGCCTGGGCCCCTCCCACCTCTCCCCTCACTCAGGGCTGCTTCCACAGCGGCCTCTAGTGCTGGGGCCTTTGCCTTGGCTGTTCCCTCTGCCTGGAACACCCTTCCCTATCCCTCAGGGTCGAGTCCAGTTTACATGTCATTTCCTCAAAGAAGCCTCCTCTAACCACCCCCTTCCTTCGTAGTACCAATGCCCACTGGGATCACGGCACGTGTCTTGCTCATGGTCCCGCTGCAAGGCAGCCCCATGAAGCCCTTCAGCCAGGCGCCTGCTGAGCGCATGAAGGGCACACTCTTATGCACGGGGATGGGGTGCTTTGGGGATTACAGGGGCTTGGTGGCCTGCCCGCACCTGATCGCCACTGCTCCAAGATCCCAAACCTTCGTAGGTGGTCGCGTCCGCATACACAAGCGTTATACATTGAGTCCAGAGATTGAAAGTAAACATTTTTATTCTTAGTGCTTTAGCTATCTAGTTTTGCAAGCATGAATAATTGGAATCAATAAGAATACTCCCCCTACGTGTTTCAGTATGATTCGTTACTAAAAAAGTTCCCTATTTTTTCTAAAGAGAGTGTGATTTCAGGGTGGCCTAAGAAGGGGCTTGATGATTAGAGCTTCGGGGTGAATCATCGGGTTGGGTGCCAATTCCTGCCGCCCGAGCAGTGCAGGGCCGCGGGAGGTGTCACTAGCAGCCCCGCAGACCTGTCCCCCGGTGACAGAGAGACTGGCGAAGAAGGGGACTATGAGGGGAGTGGGGCACAGATCCATTGACACCAGGGTAGGGGACCAGCAGAGGAGAGAGAGGGAGACGCTGCCTCACAGCCTCGGATGGATGCAGCCAAAAATCAAATGAGCCTAAAAGAACCCTAAATCAGCTGAAGGGGGAGCCAAAGAGTAGAAATAGGTATTCTCTGAAGTGCCTCCCTTTTAGAGGAGTTCCCAGAGGGGGACCCCAACCCCCACCCTGGAAACTACGCGGAGAGGACAGGGGGCCTGCCCTGGCTGGTTCACAGGACGGTCTCGCGCACGACACCGATGAGGCTGTGTGGCCGCTCGGCCTCCGCTCTGCGGGGTCTCCTCTGGATTCTCGGCGGCAGGACGGAGACGAAGGTGCTCAGGTCTCCGCAGCTCGGCAGGTGCAGCAAGCCGGGCTGTCTCCCTGAGGGCAGCAGCTGGGCCCTGAAAGCCCTGGGCTGCAGCGGAGCCATAATCTTGGGGAGAATAAAGAGCGTGGGGAGAGGTTAAGCTTCACCAGACGTGGTCCTGGGCTCTGCCTCCTCTGTCCACCCATGTCCAGTGGCCTTGTAAAGAGGGTGTTACCCAAAGCGGAACCCACTTGGAGTTCCAGAGACTTTTAACATACTGCCTTTTTTCTAAAGTTCCTAAGACATTCCCCACATTTCCTATGGTTTCCACTGTAGACCTGCTTCACATTTGACTGATTCATCTATCGCAAGTTCTTGCTTTTTATTTAATATTTCTCACACTTTTTCCCAATTTCCCTGTGGCCGAAGCCGGCGACTCCCACTGGGACCTGCACATTACAGGAAGGGAGAGGAGCTTGTCAGAGATAGGGGCTCCCAGCTCCCCCACACCAATTCCGACATGCGAGTCTGGACTGGGGCTCACGCATCTGTACTTCTCACAAAAACCCAGGCGACACTAATGAACTCGAAACTCTGCTAACTACTGGTTTGGCCTTGTGACCAGGTAATGACATTATATCAGCCAAAACCAATGATGCTTCTAGTTAATCTAACAACCCCTCAATAAACACCCTAACAACCAGACCAGTTTACTTGTAAAAACTCTTAAGAATGGTTCTACTGCGAGATCTATTTTTGCAATGTGCTGCATACATCAGTTTTAATACATCACAATATCACTTGCATTTGCTTAACGTATACCTTTATGGCCGGTCCTTGTTTTCTGAGTAAGAAGAAAATTCACAGTTGTTGACTGTTGTTACGTGTAAGTTAGGACAAGTGGTTTTGATACTGGAAAAATTATAATGGATCTAAAGATGTATTCTAATCGATCAGAGAAAGTGAAAATGGGCAAAAGCTGGGGAGAGGCAGAAACAACAGCTCCTCTTGGGGTCCCTGCCTCCTGCCATCTGTGGAGGGTATAGTGTTGTGTCACCACTGGGTTCGGTCCTAGAAGGTTCCAGCAGGTGGTCCAAGCCCACTGCAATAGTCCCAGCACCTGAACTTTGGTCTAGTCTGTGCAAAGACCCAGGGAATATTTGTGGTGATAGCATCTACTGGACTAACTGCTTGTTCTTTCTCCCCAGAGCAATTTACCAGTGAGCAAGACTTAGCAGAAGGTCCAACTGCTTGGCAGATGCCCAGCTCTTACCTCACCAAAGCTGGCAGCCTTTAAGTGACTCCAAGTGTGCCTGTTTAGTGGGCTAGTGAGGCTGCACAGAGGAAGGGAAGCAGCAAGTGACATTCTGCATAGACCAGGGACACCAGGACGTGAATGTCTCCCCTACAGGGGATACTAATGAGAGCCTGACCCAGAGCCATGGGCCAACCGCTCTCTTAGAGAGCAGACCAGAGGGTCCGTGGTTCATGCCCCTCTTCACGCTGTTCTGCTCTCCTGGGTCCCCTGAGGGGCGGGGGGGACTTGGCTTCTGGCTTCCGCTGGAAGAGGCCAGCAGGTGGAAAGTGAGAGCAGAAAGGAAAGTGAGAAGAAGATGGAGTCAATCTGCCCTAAAATGTTACGTCGGATCCTGTAGCTGGTAACGGCCCTGAGAATCAGCCCACCCAGCTAAGGAAGTGTTTGCTGGGCACCGGAGATCCCGTCGTGAGCCACTGGGTGCTGATGCCTTCAACAACCACCCCGCATACCTGGGCAAGGCAGCACCTCCTCAGAGGTGGCCGCTTGTAAAAAAGGGGGGGGGGGGCTGAAGCTGTGACCCCTCCCCAGGGGGAAGTCCCCTTCATTCAGAGACCACAGGTTCCGAGACCACCCAGCCCAACCCTCCCCTTGGAGATGAGAACCTGCCACCTCAGAGGGACATTCGCACGCCCAGTGGCACCTCCCCCTGTGGCTTCTGTTCAGGGGTTGCCTTGGACTTTCTAACCTACGGAAAGGAGAAGGTGTTCATCCCTTTCAGTCCTGTAGGCTTAGGTACCGTGCCCCCCACTCCGTGGGAATGTGCACAGCTCCCAGCGTGCTGCCGATACTGAAATTCAGGCATGCCCGTCACTGTCCAAGGGCCCACACGTCACGCCATATCCAGGGAAGCTTTCAACCAGGAAATCAGCGGCTGAATGTGACCCCCGCTGCCCAAACCCCTTCCTTTTATCCCCAAGCTGCACCCTTTTCTTTCTCCTGGCTTCCACATCCCGGAAAAAACTGGGTCTCTCTTCATGTAGGCCAAGAACGCTGTGGAAAAGTCACCCCCCCTGAAAAGGAGGCGCCCCCGCTTCCTCTGCGCCCCCAGACCTCCTAACCACACGTCCCCCGAACAGTGACCGTGAACGTAATCACTGTGCCTTGGACGGAAATCGCAGAAGCCACGTGGGCTGCTGTGGAAACAAATGATCTGATTAGCAGTAGACATTAGGAAGAAAAGTACCTGCTCCAGGAAACTGGCACTCATGAGAGCTTCCTCCATGTGCTCCGCGTCGGACTTCAGCATGGCTTTGATGTTCTCCACGAGCGCCTGGACGTCCGGCGGCAGGGCGCAGGCAGACTGCTCCAGGAAGCGCGCCACCAGCAGCTTGGTGTCTACGTAAGATTTGTAATCAATTAAAGACTGCGGCCTGCATCTCAGAGGTCTGGATCTCAGACTCCTCCTCAGGGTCACCGCGGCGCGGTCCGGTCTTCCCTCCGTCTGAGTCGCAGCTTCGCAGCTGAGCACGGGAGCGGCTGTGGGCAGAGACAAGCAACAGGGACCCATTGGCCGTGCCCCCGGACGCACGCCAGCACGTGAAACAGCTCAGGCCACTAACCTCGGCGTGGAAAACACACGACAAATGCCAACAGCCATGCACACCTTGCTTTTCATTTTGCAAAAGGAAAGAGAAACACAAAACCAGCAACTATGACACAAGCCTATTTCCAGATGTAGTGCCAACAGGACGTGGCCCCAGAACATTTCGTCGTGCCACATGGAACACTGCCCCCACGGGAAAGACAGACGACAGAGGAGAACCTCCCAAGTATACACCATGGCGGAGCAGCCATTTGATGGGGTGACGACCAGTATCTGGGCATGGATGGGGCAAGCAGACAAAACATGGTTGACTGATGAAGGATGTCCCGGGGGGGAGGATGAAGGAGCCCCTTAGAGACAGGGCTAAGGAAAGATGAGCCTTGTGGGCCGAGGGGACCGCTCCATCCACTCGGACTGTACCTGTGTCCTACACGTCCTCGAGGGCACTGCTGGCGGGTTACCTATGCCCGCACCGGGCCGTGAGGCAGCGCTATGGCCGAAGGTTACAGAAAGAGAAATCTAAGTGCAGGAAAACTAGGCCGTTCCAGAAGTCGGCAGCGGGCCTGGAAAATCCACCGAAGGCTCTAATTTCCACAACTACCTACTTTAGCGAGGCTGTGAGGACCGGCAGGACAGGACCGCACCGTCCAGTCACCGGTGAAGTGAGACGCGGGCCTGGTTTCCAACGTCCAGCGGCCAGCCAGCAGCCTTCAGTGTACACAACACTGGAGAGTTCAGTCTGCGGAGCCTGAGAGGCGGAAACTTAGATATTCAGGGAGGAAAGGGAGCGGGTGGTGGAAGATCAGCTGGGGGAAGGGGAGACTCCTTTTCCTCTGGAGAGAAGAAGGCATGAGGATCTCTAAACAGCGGTCAGCGGGTCCTCCTCTGCTGCCACAAGCCTATCCCCGAGAGCCGAATCTCCCAGGAACACTCCCTACAGACACTCATGTGTGAGGACAGGGTCTGCACTCAGTCACTTGGAGGTAGCCTGGTCCCTTCCACAACGAAGGGCTCCAGCAGGTGAGCAGGTATCATCCTCACCCCTGCAGCCCTGCAGGCAGGGAAGGGGTCCTGGACAGATCTCTCTAAGCTGTGCAGACAGCAAAGTTCCAGTTGAAGCCAGCAGGTGGCCAGCTCGAGTCCTCAACTTGCCAGGTGGGGCAGACACCCACAGTGGAGAAGGGTGTGGGAGCCGAGGGCCAGGCTGCCAGCCTGCTGGGGTTGCAGAGGCACGCTCAGTCCCGGGTGGGGGTCCTCCCCTCACGGGAGCCCCAGCAGAGACCAGGGGAGTGTTCTCTCTGGCTCCCACATGGTAGTCCAGAGCTGCGGCACACGACACAGGCTGTCGGAGGGACCAGGAGGTCAGGGCGAACGCAGGGCCCCAGAAAAAGCGAGGCGAGAACAGTATTTGCATAGGGCATGAGGAAGCAGAGGTGACAGCGAGAACAGGTCACTGAGAGAAGCCGGTGCTGATAGGGTTACAGAAGGTTTTCATTTTCTTCCTCTAGTTCCTTTATTTTTTACAATGTTCTACAACGAAGACATATTTGGAGATGTTCAGGTATTCATATATTCAAATAACATCTATGCACAAACTCAAAACAGAGAGGGAGGAAGATGAATTGTGAGTTTCATTCTATCCGAAGTTCTTAAAACAAGGTCAGATTTAAATAATCCAATCTATTCATACTCAGTGAAAAGATAATTAATGTTAAATTACAGAAGAGGGGATTAAAAAAAATACCACCTTTTGGCTTTTTCCTTGAGAGAGCACGTGTATTCCTACAGGACTGTGAGCGCCTAGAAATCAGAACCCGAGCTGCGTTATTTCCTTCATGTAGTACTTACCACAGTATTGTCTGCAACCAAATGCTTCTGATGAAAATTTAAAGAGAAAAACACCCTACCAGCCTTAAAAGCTGTGGCAGATGTATATTTCTAATAAGCATGTAGAAAATCTTATTTTCTCGAGGTATCTTTTGAACTCAGGACCCCGGCTGGCAAGAGCCACCTGCTTTCACCCGGCACCTGGAGACAAATACATGCTCTGCGGGAGCTTGGGCAATGCCTCACCTCTCTCCACGAAACGATGGAGCACAGGGTCACTCTTCCATCTTGTCATCAGGGGCAGGAGAGCCCGCTGGCTCCTCCCGGGACGCGGCTGGCTCGAGTTGGCAGCCGAAGCGGATGCGCTTTCTTCTCCAGGTGCATTAGGAGTGTTCCCACCTGATTTTTAAAGAGGAGAAACAAAAATTAGCTCGCCAGTGGCAGCCCTCAAAATGTCAGGCAGGAAACACCTGCGAACCCAAACCTGCCGGGGCCAGGGTAACACAGTTAACAACATTTGCTTAGGCGGCTGGCCCAGTAAGTTTTTATTTCTCGGCGCTACGGGAAACACTGCCTCTCCAAACCACCACTCCCGACCTAAAACAAACAAACAAAACCTTTCCATCCAAAGAGGCCTTGCGGAAAGCATCCTGGTGCAGCCTCAGGGCAGGCCGCTCCTAGCCACCTGCTGGCCGCGGGGAATGAGCGTGGCTGGTGGAAGGGAATACCCGCACAGGTGAGGCGGCTGCGGAGCCGGCTGCGGACCAGCAGACAGACAGCGTATTGCCGGCTGGGCTGGTAAACTTCGGGGCAGCCAAGTTACAGAGCCAGTAGCCACGAAAGGCGTCAGTAAAACCACCCTGGAATTGAATGACCTCCGCTCGGGAAAATAAAAATCACATCGTTTGTGAGCCCGAGCTGTGGTCTGGGAAACTTTTCTAAGAAATGGAAGAATTGCAAACACACTTAGGAAACAGAGCGCTGCCGCGTGATTCTACGTAAGACGGGAGGTGAGCAGAACAGAAACCCAGCTCCAACGGGTGCTGCTGAAAAATCACCTTTGTCCAAAATAGCTAAAGGTTGATCCATAATTTATCATCATGTGCAATTCTGTCCTGGTGGACAGTTCTCTGGGCCATTTAAAACCTCTGCAAAGAGAGAAAGCTATACAAAGTTCCCTTAAATTATAAAGAAAACTATAAACCAACTCTAGTATTGAGTGCAGGGCTGGAAATCAGAAATCACTACATGTTCAGGCAGCATGACCCGGACCCTAGGTTATAAATGACAGTGTAATCTCACAGCAAATCACCCTGTAATAAATAAAACACATTTTTCTCTTCAAAACAGCGCATCTAATTCTAACAAAAGAAAAAAAGAAATCTGAGGTTGGAAAAACACAGGCACACCAAATTTAACTCTGTAATTTATTTCATACATCCCTGAAAATAGTCTGGTTATTTGTAAAAGATTCTAAGGATATCTGTATTTTTGTTCACGTGATATCTCCCACTTGGAAGCCCTAAAAGTTGATAAGGTAATAGTTTTGCATCTGGAAAGGCTATAACTTGACTCATTTGCTCCAGGAATACCTGACCTCCAACAAAATACCGTACAGATCATTATTTTTATTCTCCTGTTGGAATTTACTAAGTCAAAAGTCTGGGCAGTGATCAGTTTATTACCTTGAGTCACAGGCATGCCGGCTGGTTCCATCAGGCTGATGGTGGCTTCTGATCCTTCTGACAGTCGGAATAAAGATGTCTGCAACACAGGAAAAAAGAAAAGTATTTGTCGATATTCAATGCAAGCAGCATCTGAGCTCAGTGAACTTAGAAAGATCCACAGAGCGCAGTCTGCTGCTTGCCCTACTGTGGTCAACATACCAGAGAACCTGTGGGGACAGTACCTGCTCCTGGTCTGTCTGGTTCACCACTGCTTCATACGGAGGCGGAGGGTCCAGAGGACAGAATACTTCCACGCCTTTGATTCTCGCTCCATATATATGCGGCAGTGGGATAACGTCGGGACCAACCATCCTAGGAGAAGCATGTTGGCATCAGGAAGCACGTTCTACAGACAGGCCAGCTGACCTCAGAGGCTCCTGCGTGCTGGCCTTTGCCTCTAGATGGTTATCCTTAGGCAAGTGGCAACGCATAAAATGCGATACCATCATTCCTTTCAAATCCACTAGGCAAAAAGCAAACAATAATCCTTAGGAGACAGAAAGTAGATTAGTGGTTGCCAGGGGCTGGGGGAAGGAAGGAATGGGGAAAGACTGGGCTCCTTGCAGGCGGTAAAAATGCTTTAGAACTAGATGGAGAGATAGCTGCATCTTGCCGGCATGTACTAAATGCCACTGACCTGTACACTTTCAAATGGTTCCTTTCAGGTTATGTGAATTTCACCTCAATTAAAGAAAAATAAAACGAGGGGCTCAGGGAAACTCAAGTACATGACAACTTTCTTGCCTGGGTTTCTCTGATGTCTGATTCATGGCAGAAACTCACTACTTGTTAAAAAATATTTGAAAGGATAAATAAATGTTTCAAACAAAGCAAACGTGACTCAGAGACAAAGCAGCATACAGCAGGAGGGGTCAGAGCAATCCTCTGGAAGGTGGTCATCACCAGACACTGAACAGAGCACCTGCTACCCCCCAGGCATTGCGGATATAGCCTGTGGGTGAGGGACCCTTGAGGGCAAAAACCATAAACAAAGAAACACACAAGATTTTCTGCCAGTGTGTCCACAGAAAAGTACACACACACACACACACATACAATCTGGGTAACAAAGAACCTACATTTAATTTTATTTATTTATTTGTTTTTAACGATTTTAATTTTTTTAATTTCTTTTTTCTTTATTGATTTTTAGAGAGAGGAAGAGAGAGATAAAAACATCAATGAGAGAGAACATCGATTGGCCGCCTCCTGCATGCCCCCCACTGGGGATTGGGCCCACAACCTGGGCATGTGCCCTGACTGGGAATCAAACCAGTGACCTCTTGGTGCATGGGTCGACGCTCAACCTCTGAGCCACACTGGTTGGGCAGAACCTAAGTTTTATTTATTTTATTTTGTAATATGTTTTTACTGATTTGAGAGAAAGAGAAGGGAGAAGGAGATAGAAGCATCCATGAGAGAGAAACATTGATCAGCTGCCTCCTGCATGCCCCCTACTAGGATTTGAGCCCACAACCTGGGCATGTGCCCTGACCAGGAATCGAACCAGGACCCTCTTATTGCATGGATTGATGCTCAACCACTTAGCCACACGGGCTGGGCAAAAAGAACCTACATTTTAAAATAATAGTTTAAAATACATGGAAAATTTTATCTTTTAAAGAAACTCCCAGTTATAAAGCATTTCTTAAAAGTTCTCAATGATGGATGTTAACCAGACCTATTGTGATGATTATTTCAATACATACAAATGTGAAATCATTATGTTGTACACCTGAAATTGTATTCTTTTTCAATTAAAAATACACAGAAGACACCCTGGTCAGTGAGTTCAGTGGTTAGAGCATCCGCCTGTGCACTGAAGGGTCACAGGTTCAATTGCTGGTCAAGGGCACGTACCTGGGTTGCAGGTTCCATCCCCAGCCCTTGTAGGGGCAGGTGTCTCTCTCGCATTGATGTTTGTCTCTTCCTCCTTCCCTCTAAAAATACATGAAAAAAATATCCTCAGGTGAGGATTAACAACAACAACAAAAATACACAGAAGACCACAAAACCTGCATTCAAGCCACAGAGTAGTGTAGGATGAAAAAAACAGATAACAGCAAAGTTGAACGTGGGTTCTTGGAATGCAGAAACAGACACTCACTGACAGACGATGGGAAAAACGGACTCGGGAGCCTGCAGTTTTGGAAAGGTTCTCACTGGATTTATGGCTTCCCTTTCACGTTATTCCCCGCGACCATTTTCCAAAATGCAATTGGTGGAGAAAAAGACGCTGAAAAAGATGTAATGTTCTTTATTCCTAACAACAGAAGGTCTGGAATTCTGCGATTCAGAAGAAACAGACTCCTGCAGCTCGAATAAGAAAGAAGAGAGAACGCCTGGCCACCTCGGCTTGGCAGTGAGAGCGTCAGCCTGCAAACCCAAAGGTCGCGGGTTCGATTGCCAGTCAAGGGCGCATAACTGGGTTGCAGGTTGGATCCCTGGCCCTGGTTGGGGTCGTGCAGGAGGCAGCCAATCAACGTGTCTCTTTCACATTGATGATTTTCTTTCTCTCTCTCTTTCTCCCCCTCCTTCTCTCCCTCCCTCCCTTCCACTCTATCCAAAAATCAGTGAAAAAAATATCCTCAGGTGAGGATTTTTAAAAAAAAGTGAGCAACCTCTCCCCTCTCCCCCCTCTATCTTTGTTCAGAAGGAAGAATCTCATCCCCTGCTTGACCTGAAAGGTAAGAGACAAGGTTATACTCTGATACCTAATTGCAGGGACACATGCAGGCTCAGTACAGAACACACCCTATCTGAGGAGAGGCGCCAGCACGGAGGGGCTCTCCCAGGGGTGGCTGGCAGGGGTCCTGGGAAAGTTATCAAGAAAGCACCATTACATTCTCCCCTTAGAGCAGAACTTGCCCACTTTCTCCCCAACTCGCCAATGCAGCCGAAGCTGTTTGACAGCGACAAACCCCAAGTGGCTCTAGGAATTCAGACCCTCCAGGACCTGACTGAAGCTTTCCTGACCGATGAATAAGGCGGCTTGTTTACTCAATGAGACCTGGGGACCCTCTGTCCTCTCCAGAGGGCCAGTCTTCCATCCTAATCAGCATAAACCTCAGGAGCCCTCTTTCCAGCATGTACAAAGCCTTGACACGTCCCCTGGGCCCTGTCTGTCTGTCTGTCTGCCTGTCTGCCTGCTTGCTCTGGTGGTCTTTGTTTTATATTCCCAGCCCAGTGGAGACCTATACAGTATGTTCACAGAGAAGAAAGGGCTTTCATTTTAGACCCTAAACTACAGAAATCTCTTCGAGAAGAAAAACTGACAGAGGAGACGCACTTTATCTTGATTTTTTTCTTTAATGAGTGGCTTCGATGGTTATTAACATAACCAGAAAAGCCTCATTTTGATGCAAGATGCAGAAGGAACGTTCCCTTTCCTACGAGGCAGGTTTCCTTATTTATTCCCTTACTTACCTCTGAGTAAATAAGGAACTCTCTGTGGGAAATGGGTCTGCTATCCCCTGGCAGGTTTTCCCCTGACTCCTGATGGCTTTCACCCCGGGGGGCTTCTAAAATCTGGACGGCCCAGGCCCCCCTCTAGAAACTGCTCTAATCGCCTGCGCTGGGGCCCAGGAGCCTGCGGGCTCAGTGCCCCCGGGTGAATCTAGTGCACAGCCAGGGCTGAGCACACTGCAAAGGGAAATGGATCCTGGTGGCCGAAACGCAAACCCTGCTAGATCTGAGAAAGGTGATCAGATTTTTTATTAAGAATGAGCGTCTTTAGAACACTGCTACCTGATAAAGCAGAGGTAAGATTCAGGGCTACATGTTTTAAGATACATATCGAGAACCTGTTAAACAGGGTCACTAACAGGGACAGAGGAGAAGCTTTTCATTTTAGGGGGAAAAAATTTAAAAGCCTACACCCATCATCACATCACAACCCTCTCGGCAGCCTGTGACAATGCAGGGGAATGAGGAAGCGAACACTCAGAAATGGCAACAGATCCACCCAGAGTTGCCGTTTAAGAGACTCCAGAGCCTGGGCTCTTTAAGTTCATCCCAAAGTCTCCAAGAAACCTTCCCTTGTTCATGCTCCTGAGCACGGAGGGTGAACAGAAAACCCAAATTGATCACGCCAAGTATAATGCTACAAATAGGCCTGGAAAACTCATCTGAGGGTGACAGAGCAACTAATACACCCTTCACCAAAGAAGGATCTTCCCCTACATACTGGAAAAGCTGTGTGTGCTGTTTCTGGGCACATGGTGGTAGGGCTGCTGCCCGTGGAGGGGGAGCAAGGCAGGGGTGCCCTGCCTGCCCAACGGGCCAACTGCCAGCACAGCCTGGCTCCCCTGGAGGGTGGGTTTAGAAGCTCATTAGGAAAGCAAATGGGTGGGCTTTGCTTCACCTTTAAGACATGTCCAGGTCAACCTGCCTCCCACCCTGTCTTCTTTAATTTTCTATAGCAGGTACATCCCACAGTACACCCAGGTCCACGTTCGCAAAATAGTTCAGACAGTCTCCTTTTTGACTCCTGGCTCAAGCCCATTTCTGAGAATGGGGACTCCTCGGAGTGGTGGGGACAGGGTGCACAGCCCCCTCCTGGACTGACACACCGATTCACAACGCAGATAAGCCATGTTCGGACAGAAGGCTCCCCCGCACCAGCCACCTGTTTATGACAGTAACCTCAGAAGCCCTTTCTCAAGGGGAGACCAATGTATGAGTGGTTGTATTTATAGAAGTTAAATAAATAAGCCTCTTCTGCGCGGTCAGAATGCCTAGCAGGAAATGGGGAGCCTCTATTGTGTGAAAACACTTCACATAACTGGCTATGGGAATTTCAAAAAAGCACTCGTTAATATTTTGTCGGCCTGCTTACAAGAAAAAAGTCACCAATTGGGGTTAAACATCCAGTGTTCATAAAATTGATTTATACCGAGAATCTTGCAAAGTCAAACTTAAAAATATCTCTGATAGAATATGTATATAAAGGTGACTAAAGTCAGTCATTTTTAAAAAGAAAGTGGGCTACACTCTGATATTGGTGGAACTGCAGAAAATGAGCGTGCTTGCCCACGCGAGACCTGCTCTCGGCTCCTGGTATACGTTTGGGCAGTGTCTTCTCTCTCACAAGGGTGTTTTGCGTTAACACCCTCCCCCCACATTCCTTCCAGAAAGTTCTGAATAGTAATGTCCTTGATGAGCAGCTTATCTGTCTTTTTCCAACCTGGTTTTGGCCAGGGGCTATCTCGGGACCCAGAGGGACAAATCCAGAGATGCACGTATGTCCTTCAAGAGTGGAAACACCCACACTGATAAACATCACTGGAGGAGCCAGAAGTAAAGCCAGGAGAAGAGACGGTGGGGGTGGGGTGGGGTGGGGAGTATTCTACAGGCCTCTGCTGGACAGCACAACTCCTAACTCCCATGAGTCACTTTCCCTTTCTGCTACTACAGGAAATTAAATCTCTCTGTCGCCTCCTCTTAGGTCAACCAAGTGCTTACCCACAACCTCAGCGAGCCAAGGAATCCTTCTTGTTGAAGTGAGCATTTCTCTTCCAACCCAGGAAACTCCAGGCACATCACTGCCTTCTCAGGAGCCTCTGCACCCAGCCTGAAAGTGGGCTAAGGTTTTAGCAAATGTGTTCTCATGTGCACAAAGAATGTGGGTTTTGTCGCTGTCTCTCTGGCCCCTGTAATTCTTGGCTCATTTCCTAAGGCACTAGGAAAACTGTCCTGGCCTCCTTAGCTTCGAAATTTCAGTATACCAGTCCCTGGCCAACAGGGAGGCTGGGCTGTTCCTCAGGCGCCCAGCCCCTGGTCCAGCCAGCTGCCCGCCCCCTCACCCAACTCTGTGGTCATCTCCACCTCCGCCTAGTGGGTGCAAGGCAGGGGGCCTGGAGGGGGCATTTAGGTATGGATCTGAGGGACAAGTCAGGAAGATGACTCACGGAAGAGAACATTAACAGTGTCTGATGGTAGCACTCACGGGCGACCGGTTTCAAAGTCATGTATGGCTGCCCCAAGCATTAGAAAATGGATTTCCAAAAACACCATGCCTGGCACCAAATCTGACAACTCTCTACGTGTACCTCAGGGATTAAAAATGGAAAATACCTGGCCCTCTGAATGTCAACCTAAAGACACTCGTCTTCCTGTAGAATTCGGAGATTCTCTTTTGGAAGCTTAAACAGAAGTTCACTTTTCCTCTAAATTCAGCGTTAAGATCACCTTGCCCAAAGCCCACTCTTCCTGCAAGCTCTCTGCAGCCCACCGCTGCCGGTAAGGTGGTCCTCCTCTGTGCTCTGAGATCCTCTCTTCTGAGTACTGCTTAGTGTGATTGTAACAACACTCACTTGGAATGACATAGACTGCGAGTTCCAAGAGAAGGGACGGGGTGAGTCTAACTCATTTTGAATCTCAATAACCCAGGGGTGAGTCTAACTCATTTTGAATCTCAATAACCCAGGAGTGACTAGTAAGCGGCAGAGAACTGATTGTTTTTTGAATGAATGAATGAATAAAGTCATTCCCTAGAGAGTTACAATTCTAGAACTTGACAACAATCAGAGGAAGGCTTGCCGCCCTTCATTCTACAAATAACTCCTGGGAGTTAAGAAGCAGACCAAATTTTGAGCTAGAATTGGAAAACGATAATAAGCCTAGCGTCTACTTTTTCTAGACCGGAGAGAAGTAATTAATAATTCATCTTTTCTAATGGCTGGTAAGAATTTCATGATTTGAGGACTTGCTGATGGTGTTATAATGAACATCGATTTGGCCTCACTGAGCACGTTTCCAGGGCAACAGCAGCTCTCAATCATGTCAAATTACAGCAGTTATCTCACTGGGTGTCAGTTTTCCTGGGAAGCTAATTGAAATTGAAAAAGTATATCCTTGGGTCACAGTTTGACTTTTCTCTGGTGTCCTGCAGTTTATCAGACAAAGAAAGAGAGAGAGGAAAATAAAAAATCCCCCCCAAAATAACACAATCTGTCCAGATGTTGGCGCGAGGTTCAGAGCTCACCCCGTGAGTTCTAGGGAATCTACAGTCTTCAAAACCAAGAGCAGCCACCTCCCCGAACGGGGGAGGGGGCGGTGCTGAGAAACGATACCTGCGGTTCATCCGGGGTGTGCAGGAGTAAAGTGTGGCGAAATACGAAGGCGGGGGCACTGGCGGCACGAAGTCATCGGGGTCCGGGATGCGTCCATGTTCTTCCACTTCCTCGACAGAAATCTGGGATTCATCCTAATTGAAGGCACCTCCGTTAGTCAACAGCCTTCACAAGGGCCCCAGGGGAAAGTAACGCAGCGCACGGACTAGTCCCTGGGCTGGTTCAGCGGAGTCACACTCATGGTGCCACCTTGCACGGACTTACACTGCAGGACCTCCTGGCTGCAAATATCTGCACATAGCGAAGGGCGGCTGCCACCAAGCAGACGGTGGTGGTCAGGGCGTTCAAGGCACACAGGGCGAAAAGGACTTTCTAGAACAAGAAAACAGAGATGTCACTGAGCACTTTAAAGCAGATCAGAAAGTGTATAAAAACTTTTTAAAATAACACACTCTCCCAATAAAACAATTCTCATGAGAAAATGCATGTAAAGGACTTAAATGGTAAGGGCCCCCCAAAATGCTGGTGATGCCCAGCTGGGTGGCTCAGTTGGTTGGAGAGTCGTCCTGTATACCAAAATGGTTGTGGGTTTGATTCCCAGTCAGGGCACATACCCAGGTTTTGGGTTCAATCCCCCAGTTGGGGCTTGCACGGGAGGAAACCAATCGATGTTTCTCTCATACATTGATGCTTCTCCCCCCTCCCCTTCCTCTCTCTCTAAAATCAATAAACATATCTTCAGGTGAGGAGTAAAAAAATAATGCTGGTGATTTTTATAGTGTGTACTTCTTAATTTAAAAACTTATCTTAGAAGCTTCCTGTCCCTGAAACTACAATATTTCTTTTGCTAGCATCGGGGTACCGCTGGGAAACACTCCTTCCAGGAAAGCAGTGAGTTTCTCTTCTGAAGTTGGAGTTTCCAGTGACATCAATTCCCAGCCCCCCAAGCCTTGCACCAGGACAGCTTGCTGCTTAACGTGTGGCCACTGATTCTATTTCAGGAGCTGTTGGCAGAGCTGAGCGGGGCGCACAACTGGGACAAGGGAGGGGCAGGCCGCCCGCATGTAAACAGGGCTTCTCTCCTCTAAACACACATCTCAGAATAGCAGCAAAGGCAACTCCAAAAGTTTCTGTTGCCACAATCCTGGCTCCTTAGTGGGGCTTTCCCCGAGCGAAGTCTTGGCTCAGAAAGTTTGGGGGTGACTCAGCTACCAAAACTCCAGAAGCCAAAGAAAGCAGGCCGTTTTTACATCCTGCATAATCCAGGGAGCTGGCAGCTTCTCTCCCTGCTCAGAGATTCATCTCCCCCCGCCCCTCTGCAAAAATCAACCCCAAACAAAGATCTAACTAAAGAAAGCCATCAGTGGTAGACTGTCCAAAAGCTAATACCTCATAGTTCACCAACTGATCTTGTCACTCACTGGGCTGATGGGCCTTAAGTCAGGACACAATCCTTATCTCATTCCCTAATAAAGGTTAATTTCTTATTTCTCTTCAACTGGGATTTGTCTTTTCTCTCTTTGCTTGTTACAGTTGTTGCCTATAAAACAAGAGGTAAAGCGCTTGGATTTCTCCTGTATATTCTGGCCAGTCTCTCTTCTAAGTCTGTGTCCCAGAACAGTAACACTCAGCAGTCCCCAGGACTCATTCACACCAACATAGGAGCATCAGAACCATGACAAACGGGCATGCCATGTAAAGCTTCTGCTGAAAGCTACATCATATATGTGTATGTATGTACATGTATATATAACTATGTGTATACGCATATATACATATGTATGTATTTAGGCTCCTTTACATTTTTCACTACTGTATAATTCTTAAACACAAAGAAAACCATCCATATATAATTTAAGACCCACACAATAATATGTGATTCTTTCTTTGTTCAATTCTGTCTCTGAGTCGTCGATGAGGGGTCGTTCACATCTGCGTTCAGGAGCATAACTATTAGAGGGAGGTATCAGGGCAGGAATATTTCCATTAACTTTGCTTTCTCTGGGGCTCTCTGGTATATTGATTGTTGGGGTAGAATCCATTCGAGGTACCTTGAGTAGAAGGTGAACCGCACTACAAGGCTGAACGGGGAAGAGTTTCAAGACATTTTCTTTGTCTGTGCATTTAGCTGGTTGAAATTCCTCACAACAGAAGCAAATCTTGCCTTCACCTAAGTCCACCTTAAGGGGGAAAAGACAGAACAATTTAATTATTAAGAAAAAATACACAGACTACACCATGGAGCACCAATCCACAGAACGAGCTATGGCAGGGTGTAGTGTGAGTCAGTGTCTGTATCAGTCAGAACAGGCTCTGGTATGCCGTGGTGACAACCAGCCCCCAATCTCCAGGGGCTTCACAAAATAAGGTTATTTTTTGAACATGCTACATGTCCATTTGGGTCAGCAGGAGACTCTGTTCATTATATTCAATTAGAGACCCAGGTTGATGGAGTAGCTACCATCTCAGGATTGATAATCACTGTGCCAGAGAAATGGAGAACACAAGATAAATTTCACACTGGCATTTAAAATAGGGTTGCCAGATAAAATGCAAGACACCCAGTTAAATTTGAACTTAGATAAATGACAGACCATGTTTTAGTATAAGTACGTCCCAGCTATTCCATGAGACACGTTTATAGTATAAATAATTAGCGGTTTGTTTGAAATGCAAATTTAATTTGTGCCCTGTGTTTTTATTTGCTAAACCTAGCAACCCTAACCTAAATCTTCCTCTTGGAAATGACACTCAACACTTTACCTAATATGTCCCCACCAAACTCCAAGAGGGCAAGGAAGCTCATCTGCCATGTGCCTGTAAGAAGCAGATGGTACATTTTGGTGAACAGCAGCCCTAAACTATGTACACCTAAAAAGACCTTTTCGTTCACATCTTCTGTCTTCTCTATTTGAAGTGATAACTTCACTGATCAGGAAAAAATTAAAAAATGTGTTTTCTCCGTATTGAATTACGGGCCTTACCCTCTACTCATAGTAATAAGTTGCAAGGTAGTTTTGCAAATTAGGAGAAAATTGACTAGGAAGCTAAAGGGAAAAAAAATCCACTACTGGATTATGCAACATTCTTTGGTTTCATTATAGTTTTTCTTTCTTATTTCTTTTTTATAGTGAGGTGGAATTTATACACACACAACACTTGCATACACAAATGTTAAGCATACCATTCAAGGAACTTTGAGCAATGCCTACACCTGTGTGACTCAAACCCTATCAACATAGAGAACATTACCATCACAGTATGCCCCTTCCCCACCACCCCGCCACACCCTCCCTCCCAGAGGCAACCACGGCTTTTTTTTTTTCTTTCTTTCTTTCTACATAGATTAGTTTGGCCTCTTCCAGAACTCCATGTATTCCTTGTCCTTAGACCACGTTGCAAAGGATGCATTATTATATGAAACACTGATGCCCGGATTTTGATGTAAATTCTGCCTCTGATACAAAGAAGTACAGCCAGAGTTACCTGATGAACTCCATAATCTGGCCATTCATTCCCCTTTGGTTTCTGTCCTTTCCTGGTTTGTCCACAGAGATCTCAGCAATGTCCTCACACCTAAATCCACACCTCGCCCACGCCCCAAACACAAAGGCACGAGGCTGTCTATATTTGAATTTTTCTTCCACTGTCTCACATTTTTGAAGATACATCCTGCTGCTAATATCTATCCTAGATTCTTGCCTTCAAAAAAAAAAAACTCCTGTGGCCGGTCAGACAGAATGTCTCTAGGCTGGGTCTAGGCAGTGGGAAGCATTCTTTCCTCTCGGGGATCACTGGCCTTCTCTTGGTCCTCTCTTCCAGAATGAATAACAGTGCTGCACAGGGCTGAATTCCGCAGGTAAATATACTAATGGTCTTCCTCTAAAGCCTCCAGCTGGGAACTCCTGTTTCAGGGCTGATGGCACTGTTCAGTAACAACAAACCAGCAGCTGACAGAAAGGATACATTCTGTGCATCCCCAAGCTGCTCACACACACAAGGCCCTCCCCTCCCCAAACAGGACCCGGGCTCACTTTTTCCAACATGATGCAGTGCAGTTTCTGTTTCTTGTACTTCTGTAAGCCTCGAGATCTTACCTAGGGATTCTACCTCCCTCAGGTAAGGTGAGACGTCATCTTACAAAGTACTCCCTTCCCACAAGTCCATCCTTAATACAGTTCGGACATAACCGGGCCTATGTGGACTACACACACAGTTGCATTATTCGAATACACAAAGACCTTCGGGGTGAGCCAGTGTGGATGGCAAAATTTGCCAGATGTGTGAAGGTTAATCCCTTTATCTTTCTTTTTTTTTTTTTTTGCATTAAGATACATTTTATTTTGTGTTTTAAGAACTTAAAGAACTTTATCAATTTTTTTCTTTATTGTTGAAAGTATTACAGATGTCCCTCTGACACCCCCCTTCGCCACACTGTTGTCTGTGTCCATGGGTTATGCATATATTCATATAGCGTCTTTGATTTATCTCGTCCCACCTCCCCACTGCCCTTGCCTCTGAGGTTTGTCAGTCTGGTCCCTACTTTCATGTCTCTGGACATATTTTGATTGGCAGCTTATTTTATTCATTATATTCCACAAATAAGTGAGATCATGAGATTCTTGTCTTTCTCTGACTGGCATATTTCTCTTAGCATAATACTCTCTGGGTCCCTCCATGCTATCTCAAAGAAATAGATCCTTCTTTTTCACAGCTGCATAGTATTCCATTATGTACATGTACCACAGCTTTTTTATCCACTCATCTACTGATGGGTACTTGGGCTGTTTCCAGATTTTAGCTATTATAAATAGTGCTGCTATGAACATAGGGGTATATATATTCTTTCTGATTGGTGTTTTGGGCTTCTTAGGATATATTCCTAGAAGTGGATCACTGGGTCAAATGGCAGTTCCATTTTTCATTTTTTTTGAGGAAACACCATATTATTTTCCCTAGTGGCTCCACCAGTCTGCACACAAAGAAAACTATACAAAAATATTTACAATAGCTTTGTTTATAATTCTCCCAAACTGGAAACAACCCAAATGTCCATCAACAGGATAATGGATAAAATAAATTGTAGTATTTTTATACAATGAAAAACTGCTCTGGAAAAAAAAAAAAAGGATAAATCTCACAAACTTCATACCAAGTAGAATAAGTCAGACACAAAAAGGCACCTACGGCATGACTCCATCACATGAAGCTCAGGAACAGGCGAAATGATCCATAGGGAAAGACACTGAAGAGTGGTTGCCTCCGAGAGACAGAGACTCCCTGAAAGGAGACTCCAGAGGACTCTCTGGAGCACTGAAATGTTTCAGATCTTGTCTGGGGCATATGCACAAGGGTATTTGTCAAGATGAATGTATACATTGACCAAAACTTGATGACCTGCACACATGAGATCTGTGCATTTCACTGTTTGTAAATTTTACCTCAATTTTTTAAAAAATGAAGAGAGTCATCAAATGGTTGGACATGTAACAAAAAAGTGAGAGAGGCAGAACACCCGCTGGCCTGGGAACCTGCCCACTTAGGTAGCCCCACAGGGACATGCAGCACTGTGTCTAGTGGCCAGAATCCAACCCACCACAGACAAGAAAACAGTGGGTGAACCTACTCTCTCTGTGTCTACTATATCTTTGAGTGAGAGAAGAACAATGGGCAGGTGGGTAGATACAATATCTCTCATTTTTTAAAAAAGATTTTGAATAACCTGACCCCAGCCATACTTATGTAAGATTATATGAGCCTGAGAACATGAAAGGAAACTTCTCGACCTGTTCCCATGGATTTGGGGTGACTGATGTGGGTGGGGAGGAAAAGAGGAAAGGAGGGTGTTTCCTTACCCCAAAAGACTTCTTTTGTCCAAGAGCTTCCTTAATGAAAAACGATTATGATACGGCCCCCACTGGTGGAAAATCATGCGTTTTATGCATAAAAAGATGGCCAAATAAAGTCATCAAATAGTTAACTGTGCTAATCCAGAACAGTAAGATTTCAAATGATTTTTAAATTCCATCCTATACTTTTCTAGCTTGTCCAAATTTTTACAATTACATAATCAGAAACAATCACAGAGTTGGTTCTGTGATGAGAAAATTTTTTAAATTAAAAATACATTTTAAAGCTTTAGAAAGTACTCATGCTCAGACCCCCACTCCAGGGCAACTGAGAATCTGGATGTGGGACCTGGGTCTGGGTATTTTCTACAAAATTCCCTCAGGTAATTCTAATAGGTCAAGGGAGAGAACCACAAAATTTCTCAGAAAAGTCAACTACCTATACCCTTCACCCCTACAATCGGGCTTCTGTTTTTTCCAGAGCTACCAGTGATCAAACCACTAGGCTAAATTCTCACCCCATTTACTCGTTCTAGGTCCATCTCCAATGCCTACATTCCAGGTCACCCTCCCCATCTTCCACGGGTAAACCCTTCTTCTACATCCCCTAGAACTGTGTCTCACTGACGCTGAGCACCGTCGACCCCGCTCTGCGGCTGGGCATTGATCCCTCCTCGAACGAACACTGATAGGGGGGCATTTGCGTGCGTATCGGACTCCTCTTGCTACTGAAAAAATTCTAGGTCAGAAGCGATGTCTGGCTTTTCCTTCTACACTCTGCAGCTCCTAGCACGGTGTCTGGCATATACCAGATGCTACAATTTTGCCCCGTTGTCTTTCCATATAATATGACTTTTCACTTCCAGCTTATATCTACTCTCTTTGCCCCCTTCTAATTTGCTGTGTGATCTGTCATTGGAAAACCGAACTGTGTTCAAAACATTTCTCTGGGAACTCTCTGTGTATAAAGGAATATTTAGGAGGCTGCTGAACACTCCCAAGGTAATAGAGAACCAGGACATTCCCACCTGGAGGAAGAGAGAAGACAGGTGTATGAGTATCTTTAGAAAAGGATAAATGCCTAAAGGATGTGCAGCTAGGACACTCGGAAGACTATCTTGTGGGGGGACCAGGGACCCTTTCCTGCAGGAGATAATCTTTGAGTGAGGCTTTAAAAGACTGATGACACTTGGCTGAACAGGGAAGAAAGGGGCAGGGCATTTGGGGGGGGGTGGGACACAGCATTGTTAGAAATAGGAAAGTAGGGCAGGAGCTGGGTAATGACCGGCAGGCTTGGGCTCAGTTACACAGAGTGGGGCTGCTGCAGTGAGCAGGCAGGAAGAGGGTGAACCGAAGAGGGCCTTCAAACCCAGAAAAGGCTGTTAGCTTGTGACCCCATAACTTAAGGTTACTGAGTAATTAAATACAAAACAAATCAAAAGCCTTAAGAAGGAGCAGTGGTTTTCAGTGAGTCCCTAAGGCTGTTTCCTATTTGGGAAGGTCACGAGTTTCCCTGCCAGGGCCTTATCACGTCCTCTGGAGAAAGCGGCCCTTCTTTGCTTGCATCTGGCTGGTTTCGAAAGGGTGAGAGGGTGAGAGGTTGCCTTGTACCAAGTTCCAAATAGATGAGATTTGATATAATTTCTAAAATGTCCTTTTATTGGCTTTGCTTCATGTCACAGGGAGATGCTGATTACTACCAAGTCCTTTTAAAGAGTTCAGAGATGACAAGCAATTTTACTTCTGGTTATAACTCCAAAGAACTGAAGGCAGGGTCTCACACAGGTATGTGTAAACCTTGTTTCCTAAGCAGTACTATTCACAGTAGCCAAAAGGAGGACGCAACCCAATCATTCACTAATGAGTGAATGGATAAACAAAATGTATCACATACATACGGTGGAGTATTATTAAGCCTTAAAAAGGACATTCTGACACAGTATAATATGGATAAAACTTTAAGGATGCCCTGGCCAGTTTTGCTCAGTGGTTAGAGTGTCAGTCCGCAGACCAAAGAGTCACGGGTTCGATTCTGGTCAAGGGCATGTACGTCGGTTGTGGTTTGTCCCCGGCCCTGGCTGGCGTCGTGCGGGAGGCAACCAGTCGATATGTCTCTCTCATGTCAAGGTTTCTCTCTCTCCTCCTCCCTCCCACTCTATCTGAAGACAAATGGAAAAATATTCTAGGGTAAGGATTAAAAAAACTTTAACAACATTATGCTAAGTGAAATAAGCCAGTCGGAAAAAAAAAACCAAATAGTATATGATTCCACTTAGATGAGGTACCTAGAGTAGTTCAAGTCAGAATGTAGAATGGTGGTGGCTGGGGGTGGGGGTGGGGGAGCAGAATGGGGAGCTACTGTTTAATAGTGCTTCAGTTTTGCAAGATAGAGAGTTCTGCAGATTGGTTGTACAACAATGTCAATGTACTTAACACTACTAAGTGGTTGGGATGCTATATTTTGTGTTACATGTATTTTACCACAATTAAAAATTAGAAAAAAAAAATTCAGAGATGGTCCAGGTCCATGACCTCTTACACACAACCCTGAAATCCAGGAAGTTTCCACTGCAGCCGCTGTCCCAGATTTCACTGGGTGCTACAGAATAAACAGCGTGTACGTCAAATTTATCTTCTAAGAACTGGAAAAACTCCGAAATCTGAAACACCCCCGGCCTCCAGTGGTTGTGGATAAAGGACTGCTGACCTGTATTCTGATAATATCCGATTTTCCTCTTCGGGTGAGAGCGGACAGATACTGATAGTGGATAACTAATCCACCACTAACTGAGGGTGTATCATACAGCGTGGGTTGGGGTTCTGCTGGCTGGCCCCTGCCTTGAATAACTGCCAAGCTGAGGGAAATAACTAGCAGGCAGCTTCCTTTTACCCACTTCGGGTTTCACTTTAGGACGCTGCCTGGCGCTGGAGGTTGCCAGCCACACTCTGGCACCCACAGTGAGCAGCCAGGCCAGGTCGGCCGGTGCACGGTGATGTTTTAGGACTGCTTACCAAGTCACACCTGGGCACACTGGACACGAACTGCGCCCCTTGGCAGCCCAGGATAAACCCAGCTAAATTTAAGAGGACACACACCACAGAGAGCAGCACGAACAGGTTTACCTGAAATGGCAAGAAAAGAGGGGGTTAGGAAAAAACGCCAGCTAAATTCAGAGAGAGTTTTGTCTGAATAAAAGAAACTCACATTCTCTTCTTAGAGGAAACATTTTGTAAAAAGGCAGAACCATGTTTTTAGTATCCATGTCTCTCCCCCCCACACACACTTTTCAGAATTTTTAAAATGTGCTCAGGAATGTTATTGCTTTTCAAGTCTTCTCAATAACTTCAGGTCCCTACTTTTTTTCTCTGCAGATAAGAGCATTCTCTCCCTATCTTGTATCTGTTCCTTAGGTTAAGCAATGCCGCTTTCTCCTTGAGCCATTGTTACTTGTTCTGAGGTCTGCAGGGTCCATGCTAGGTAGACAAATGGAGAATTCTCGAATATAAATGGAACCCAGGACAATCAAGGCCCTCAGAGCCATTACTAGCCAGAAACTGTAGGATACAAGTGAAAAAAAAAAAAGATGAGCCTTTTTTCAGTCCTGCAGGAGGCCGGCTGAGCCTCTCCTGATAAGACTGGAATGTCCCTCAGTTGCCCCTCAAACCCGGCACCCAATCAGCAGCCAGACAGAGTGGCGCCAGTAACCACCAGGTACTGCGTTATCTACTCCAGTATCAGATGCCTTGAAAAGAAAGCAGAGTTATAGCCCTTAAGCCCACCAGCACACCACTAATCTTCATAACTAAAGCTCAGCAGCATCAGATACCGAATGGGTGGGAGTTCATTACCCAACACTGGACCCTAAATGTCATCCTTGAAATCTCAAATCCAGTTCATCAAATGAAAATCAATAGGCAAGCCCCGGAATGGAAGAACATTTTTCATGCATATGCTGAACAAAGAACCTTTTCCAGAATATACAAATAACTTCTCAACTCAATAAGAAGAAGGCAAAAAAACTAGAAAAAATTAAAAATTGCCGATTAAAAATCGGGCAAAAGACTAGAACACATATTTGACAAAAGAAGATACAGAAACGGCCAATAAGCACATGAAAAGGTGTCAACACCATCAACAATCACGAACGCAAATTAAAACTACAATGAGAGACGATTTGACACCAACAAGCGTGGTTAAAATTAAAAAGACTGAGCACAGTAAGTGTTGGTAAGAATGAGGAGCCCACGGACTCTCAGACATCGCTTGTCCAGGTATAAAACGATACCACCACTTTAGAAAACCGTTCTTCAGTTTCTTAAAAATTAAATATAAATTTCCCATGCAGGTGGAGATACTCTACCCTCAGCTCCCCACACCATAACTGCAGGCTGCACAAGGTGAGGGCCTTCCAAAGCATACAGCATGACAGGATCGAGGAGGAGTAGCCTTCCAGTGGAGAACCTGACAAACACATCAACCAGGTGACCACGGTCAACACCACGAATGAGCCCTGTCGATGGTGTGCACCCTTGATGTGATATGATGAAAACAGCATTTTACCTCTGTGGTCTTCCTCTCCAACATTCCTAATAACCTCAGTCTGTGTGTGAGAAAAACAGCAATCTCAGCTGAGGTGCATTCTACATAATCCCTGACAAGTACTCTTTAAAACACTCGAGAACATGAAAAACAAGGAGAGTCTAAGAAACTGTCACAGCCAAGAGGAGCCAAAGCAGACATGACAACTAAATGTAAGGTGATGTCCTGGGTAAGATCCGGACAGAGAAAGGATGTTAGGTATAAACTCAGGAAACCTGAAGCGTATACATTTTCATTGATACTGATGTATCAATATTGGTTCATTAACTGGGACAAATGTACCAACCTAACGTGAGATAACAATAATAGGGGAAACAGGGTATGAGGTATATAGAACCTCTCTGTACTATCTTTGCAATATTTCTGTAAATCTAAAACCATGCTAAAATAAAATTTCGATTAAAATCAGTTCTGAATATACACCCACTGGATGACCTGCAATTCCACACCTAGGAATAGACCCAGAGAAATAAGTGCAATTGCCCGCAAAAGGACTTACAGAAGCTATGTACAGCAGCCTTGTTCAATTAGACTGAAAAGTAGGAAGAACTCAAACATCCAGCCCAGGAGAACGAATACCCAGACTGTGGCTGTTCACAGCGGAGAACTTCCAGCGATGAAGAGGAACGAAGTACTGATGCACAACAGCAGCGTCAAGTCCAGAGGCATGATGTTGAAGAAAACGAGCCAGATACTGGAAGATTTCACTTACATGATGTTCGAGAACAGACAAAATGACCATGGTGATACAAAGAAATAAGAAGAGTGTTTTGCCTGTTTTTCAAGGAAGGTATGGAGTGAGGGGATGCCTGAGGAGACAAGGCAGTTTTCTGGCGTGGTAAACATGTTCTGTATCTTCTTGGTTACTGGCTATGTGGGTGTATCCAACTGACAAAGCTTAGCTAACTGAACACTTATGATCAGGAATTTATGTAAATTATATTCACTGTATACATACTTTTTAAAGCAGCAAAGAAAACCCTGAGTCCAGCTGCCACGGCGGGAGTGTGAGATCATACACTGAATGGTGCTACTTGTGAAATGTCAGAACAACAGACACGATGAGAGAATGCTCCCGGGATTCACTGCCTGGGAGACTCACCTTCTCTCCTGCATGGGAGAGGCCGCCAAGAGAAGTCCGAGTCAAGTCGCCAGAATGCCACCCCTGCAAACCCCAGAATGAGGACCTGGGCAGAGGCACATGGGCTGTGTAAAGAATCACCATGTGCTGGTCCCCAAATTCATTCCTGCATATGGTTTTTTTTTTTATTACTACCATTATTTTTATTGCCATTATTAGTATCTGGCCAAACTTATTTGTCAAATGGTCACTCAAATAACTCTTGTGCACATATCAGACGTGGGGGTTATTAGGATACCAAGCACATGTTTCAGAAGTTGGATAGGGTTCAAGGATACAAAATATTGAAGTTATAAGGGACCCACTTAGGATTTACAGGGACCTTCAAAATGGACCCGTTTGGCTTTAACCTAGTTATAATGGTATCATTTCCAAGACCCACATTTCCATCCCAACTATCACCAGATAGCATCTCCCCAAACACAAGGCAGTGAAACATCGGCTACTAGCGAAGAACCTCATAATCACAAAGCCCATTCAGCTACATCTGCAAAAGGGAAGAATTTCTTATGTTTCTTATACTGTCATCATTCTTGCCTTAAAAAAAAAAAAAAGTCATTGCAGTAATCTGAGTTCCTCTTTGTGGAAAGCACCTGAAGTTGAAATCAGGAGACTGGGTTCAAATGCAGGCAGCCTCACTTGTTGGCCATGATATATCAGGCAACCTCTGTGTATGATTCAGCAACTCACTTTTAGGTACATACTCGACAAATCAATGCATATGTCCACAGGAAGACACACAAGAATGTTTGTAGCAACTGATTCATACTAACCAAAATCTGGGAGCAGTGTAAATATCCATAAACAGGAGAATGGGTGAACAGATTACAGTATACTCAGAAATAGAATAAAACTCAGTGCTATAGTCTGAATGTTTGTGTTCCCCCAAATTTATATGTTGAAATCCTAACCCCCAGATGATAGTATTAGGAGGTGGGGCCTTTGGGAGGTGATTAGGCCATGAGAGTCGAGCCCTCGGGAATGGAGTTAGTGAGTGTGTGTGTGTGTGTGTGTGTGTGTGCTTTTCTATTTAAATATCAAAAGCTCGTCCAATTCTTTCCTCATAAGAAAAAACTCAAAAACATTAATCTAAAAAATACAATTTTTAAAAATTCTTGATATATTTATTTATTTATTATTTGTGAGAGAGGAAGGTGATTAAATACTCAGTCAGTCACCATGCCTTTTATCCTCCACATGCAGCCTTGCATACTGCTCCAAACAAATGAGAAGCAAAACATACTCTTCACCAGTGGGGCACAAAATCTGAACCAAGGACCTTAAAAAATAGGTGGTCTTAAATAATACTGAATGAATGAATGAATCCATCAATCACTCAGTGAACAGAGGAAAGAAAACCGATGCTTTGTGATACCACCCCATGGAGGTATCATGCATTCTTACTGCTGTTCTGGAACATACACAGACAGGCCCTGGAAGGCCAGCAACGCACTCCCTGTCACTGCGTGCGTGGGAATGGCTCCCACCTCTGCTCCGGGTGGGAGCTCACCATTTCCTGAGGAAGAAAAATGGGCAGAGTAGGGGGTGGTGGGTGAGTGGGTAGAAGAACAAAGCAGCCGGTGCTTAGAATTCAGGTTACATTTTCCCCTTAAAACAGGAATGTCATGTGTTGTGAATACATTTAATGCCATTGAACTGCACACTTTAAAACGGTAAAAGTGTGCGCTGGCCAGTTTGGCTCAACGGTTAGAGCGTCGGCCCACGCACCAGAGAGTCTGGGTTTGGTTCCCACTAAGGGCATGTACCTTGGTTGCAGTTTGTCCCCGGTCCCAGTTGGGGTCGTGTGGGTGGCAGCCACTCAGTGCGTCTCTCTCACATCTATGTTTCTCTCTCTCTCTCCCTCTCTCTCTCCCTCCCGCTCTATCTGAAGATAAATGCGAAAATGTCCTCACGTGAGGATTTAAAAAATGATAAAAGTGGTCATTTTTGTTATATGTATATTTTATCACAAATTTTAATAATCACACACAAAAATAAAAAAGGAAAGAAAGGAAAAGAGATGGAGTCCAATTTCTGTTTCCCCTCCCCTTGATGCTGAGCTGGTCTTAGGAACTTGTCTGATCAATGGAATGTGGCAGAAGTAATGTTCTAGGACACACAAAGCTAGATCCTAGGAAACCCGAGCAGCTGGGCCTCTTGGAACACTCATCCAAGTCAACAGATCCTCGCCAACATGCTGGGGCAGTTACATGCGGAAGTCACAAGTTCATGCTTTAGTCAACCGCCCTTATGAGCACCCACAGGTGTCTTTTATAAATATATACTGAAATATTTAAAAATAAAATATTGTGAAGGCTGAGATTTATTTCAAAACAATCCAATGGCAAGAGAAAAGAGAAATGGTTAGGGGTTTGGTGAGAC